TTAAATATGAAAAACAAAAAGCCCAAATCTGATGTGCCTAAAATTCAGGACTCCACAGAAGTGGAAGACTGTTTTTCCTCTACCAATTTCACTGGAAACAGACTGTTGTGCTAAGAAACACCACCCCTATGATTAAGAATCTTTCCAAAGCAAATCTTTCTCTCTTTCCTTGAAAATCCCTTAAATTCTCAAAAAAATTTCTTTATTGTCCCCATACCACTTCCACCCTCAGAAAGTATCCAGAAAAAAAGCTATTTGTCAGTTACTTCAGTTCAAGACTCTGTTATGCTGCACAATTGTTCATGTGCACTGCTTAACATGGAGGGAAAAGATGTTGCTAAATTGGCAGCACAACCGTGGGCTGGGCAGGAGAGGTGCCTTCCCATTGTGTGCACAGGGCGGCTCTGCTGACTGCAAGGGCTCACGCAGCAGAAAAAAACCCCAAATGCCATCCCCGCTCTTGCTATTGGCAGCTGTTCTCTTATCACCAAAGAGAATTTATCGCACCACTGACAGATGCTGAGATTCAGAAGCTGAAGCTGAAAGCCAAAGGGATTGATTCAAAAAACAAAAACATCCCTTGAAAAAAATGAAAAATAAAAAAACATATAGGAAGAGCCCTACCAAACCAAGTCACTTCAGTGCACACATCACATGGCATCTCTCCATGGGGAGAGGAAAGAGAGAGCCGAGCCCCCACGCAGATGTCAGCAGGTCTGTCTGCAGCACTCCTGGAAGCTGCTCAGTGCTAGAGCTGCAGGAAACCACAGAGAACCTGGCCACAAAATTCCTACTGGGGACAGTGGGAGCAGAGAAGACTTTTCAGGGAAAGGGACCTTGAAATCAAGCTTTCTTGGAATTAAAGTCATTATCGAACACAAAATACTTGCATTCCTAGTGTTCTCTCATGAAGGGAATTGGTGGATCAGGGCTGTCTGGAATTTCTATTCTTACACACACACATACACACACTTTCTCTGTCAAAGCCTCTTTCGCTCCTATGAGGCTACAAGTCTTAGTTTCTTATATGTGACTCCACTGTGTACCAACATCCAGGAACCCACTGCACAGCTGCTGTGGCTGCTCCCAAGAACTGGAGACAGGAGTCATGTGTTGTACATGACAAGGGGCTTTAATATCTCCCCTCCCGACGTCATGCATGGCCTGGTGCACACAGACACTCCATGCATACCAACAGCTACATGGTGTCTGTGCCCGTAAAGCAGAGCCTGTACTTCATCCACAAGTTTTGCCAAATTGCTGCACACAGCATGCCAATATCTCCCTCCTGCTTCCTGTCCCCAGGGAAAACACATTTGAGTTTGTCACAGACAAGGAAAGCCTGAGCTATCCACCAACACTGCTGTAGGCACAACGCAAAGGAAGACATGCAGTGCCTTCCACATGCACTTTCCTAACTAAGGCAGCCTGATATGAGGTTTAATTTCTGGACACTAATCTGTCTTTTCTGGAAAACTCAGAGCAAGGTGAATTCTCCCAGAGCAGCGGATTCCAGCAATGGGGAAAGGAGTCCCAGAGTAACTCCCATTTCCTTGTAACGCGGAAAGCCCCCGAACAAAACTCAAGAGGACGCATTATGCCTGACACTTCAGAAGAAGGCCGAACTGGGAGCCACGGCAACTTGAGGAACGCCAGCATCACCCCGATGCGCACTGCTGGGGGTGTGCAAAGCCCGGCCCCGCCGGGGCGTGTCCCGAACTCTACGGAATGAGGATGGGAAGCAGGCCCAGGGCAGCGGCAGGACGGGCGGTAGCATGGAGCGAGGCTGACACCTGCAGGGAGAGCTGGGCATGAGCGAGGCGGAAAAACCAGTTTCAATGCCTCAAAAATCAGCAGCGAAAATATTTCCACCCTTTCAGTTTTGAGCTTGAACCACTTTAGGGTTTGCTCACATTCTGCCACCAACATTTCAGACATTTGGCGGGGATCATTGTTCTTCCCCCGGCTGCTCCCCGGAAAACCAGAGCATACATGGAGCAGGGCACAAGTACATCCTGTGACCCCACATAGTCCGACGGGTCAGGTTTCCTCCCTGCTGAGCCGCGGGCTCTCGCTGTCTGGGAGTGCCGTCCGGAGCCGCAGAGCCCCGAGCCCTTGGCCAGGCCCAGGCTCGGGTCGCGGCTCCTTGCTGAGGGCGCTGTCCATTCCTCTGCTCTGCAGCCGTCCCCGGAGCTCCCTGCTCTCAATGTGCTCCTGGCAGGCAGCGACAGTTCGGCTCCTGGGTGACCTCCTCAGCCACCTCTCTGAAAGCCTTCCCTACCTCTAACTGCACAGCTGACTCCTGTACCAACAGAAAAGTATGGAACCTCTCAAGCATGTTCATCTTTCCTCCCAATTAATCTTATCTGCCAGTAAAATTTGAGATGCAGTGTAGGAATTAGAGCAAGCTACTTACTTACCCAGGAAGGTCAATTTAGGTCAAAGCTACCTCACACAGATGGCTAATTGCAATCCCTTACACATACAACACAATTGTTCAATATAGTCAAAATAAATAGTGTAAGTAATTAATTTAAAGCTGCCCTAATTGTTTCTCAATTTCCCCTATTAATTTAACCTACAACACTTCTCCTATGAAAACTTCAAAGCTCTAACTTAACAGCCAATTAAAGCTTCTTTGGGAAAAAAAAGTGCTGTCAGCACCGATTTCTTCTGACTGAACCCCTTGAAGCACTTGGGAGTTCATTTAAATTGCACTGGGCTGAGAACCAAAGTGCTTTTTGCAGGTACACTGTTCTCAGTAAGCTAATGAGACAATGGACAATTAAGATTAATTAAGGATTTCAACTCGGTATCAACTTTCGGATCACCCTTTGGCTGGACAAAAGTGGTCTGACGCTGGAGCAAACAAGAAATCCATGGGTGTGTGAGCAGGAGCTGGCAGAGCAGACACAGTTTTCCCCCAGCTCTCTGAGATCTGGGGCTCAGCTATGGCTGAGGGGCCCCCGCAAAGTGCCTTCTCTCTGTGCTTCTTTCCTAAATTAGTCTCACTCACCTCATTAGTAGAAAGCTTGGGAGAATGGAAAACCCTGAACCAGAGACGCAGTATGGAGCAGGAAACAGAAACTAAATAGAACAGGAATGAACCATCCTGAGTCAGGCTCCAAATACATCCCAGGAAGTTGAAACACAAGCAAGTACCTTAAAGCTAAGCCTGCTCAATTATTATTGTGAACAGGATTCCTCTGAGAAACTCCTGGGGTTACATGAGGGGGAAAAAGGTACCCAGCACACAGAGCAGATGAGCAGGAGGGAGGAGGCAGGTCTGTGGGGCAAGAGCAACAGTGCTCTAAGGACACTAACAGGAAGAAATCTTAGTGAATGATTGATTGGCAGAAATATTCAAGACTGCTGCTGACCGAATCCACCTTAATTTGGGGAACCAAATGGTGTAGCACAAATCTGGGAGTGACACAGCACAGCTGGTTCTGTTGAACACCTGGCCTTCACTGTCAGTGTCATCCCCATCTTTTACTTCACATGACACATCTGTGCCATGGGACAACCCTGCACACTCCTCACACCATTTGGTTTAATGAATCCAATGCCCTCTGCAAGGGCCTTCCCAGCACAGAACTGGCAGGGAGGGCCAGGTGAACCAGGATTACCCTGTGGCACACTTGTCTGCAACTTGGAAACCAGAAATCTTATTATTATACCTGGGGAATTACTGCTATACCCCCACTACTTTTTTCTTTTTTTTTTTTTTAATTAGCAAAAAAACCCTGCTAAAAGCAAACTTTTGGAAGAGTCTTTCTCACTACTAAGACTTTTTTGTTACTTCAGAGAGTACACAGGGAAACCCCCAAAATGCTAGCAATCATGATCTCAGATTAACCAGACATTGCTCTTGCACAGTGTAATTGCAAATCCCACAGGGAATGACAGCCCTCGTGGTTGTCTGACCTGACAGGTGTGTTCCTGGCCTCTGTCACTGAGGTTTGCAGCCTACCTGAGAGGAATGCCTGACTGGTCCAAAGGCATGTCTCAGTTGTTCCGGAGCGCTGAAGGGTCCAGGGGGCCCCTGGTGGTCCCTGGTGGTTCAGAGGTTCTCAGGAGTCCTGGAGGGTCTGAGGACTCTGAGGCACCTCAGGCCAAAGGTACCTTAGGGGATCCTGGAATTCTGAGGGGTCCCAGAGGGACTGATGTGCCCCAGGCTGTCTCAGAGGGTCGTGAGGGTCTGAGAGCTCTGAAGGGCCCCAGGGGTCAGAGATGCCCTGGGGTGTCCCGGCAGGTCTGAGGGGGCCTGAGGAGTCCAAGGCACCTCAGGGGGTCCCACAGATCTGAGGGAGTCTGAGGAGTCCAAGGCACCTCAGGGGGTCCCGCAGGTCTGAGGGGTCCAGGCCCCTCAGGGGGTCCCGCAGGTCTGAGGGGGCCTGAGGAGTCCAAGGCACCTCAGGGGGTCCCGCAGGTCTGAGGGGGTCCACAGGTCTAAGGGGGTCTGAGGAGTCCAAGGCACCTCAGGGGGTCCCGCAGGTCTGAGGGCTCTGAGGTGCCCTGGGGGGTTTCGGGGGGTCTGAGGGATTCCAGGAGCCTGAGGCACCTCAGGGGTCCACAGGTCTGAGGGGGTCCCGGAGGTCTGAGGAGTCCAAGGCACCTCAGGGGGTCCCGCAGGTCTGAGGACTCTTGAGACACCTCAAGGGTCTAAGGAGTCCCAGGTGCCCCCGGTGGGGGGTCCCGGAGGTCTGAGGGCTATGAGAGGTTATAGGGGCCGAAGGGTTCCCGGGGGTTTGAGGGGTCCCAGGGATCTGAGGGCTTTGAGGGATGGCGGGGGTGTGAGGGCTCTGAGGACTGCAAATGCCTCGGAGGATCCTGGAGGTCTGAAGGGTCCTGCGGGGCTCCCGGGAGTCGGACGGCTCAGAGGCGCCCCGGGGGCTCCGAGCGCTGAGGCGGCTCTTGGCGCCCCCTGGCGGCCGTCGCCGCCACAGGCCGGGGCGGAGCCGCGCAGTGACGTCATCGGCGGGCGCCGCGGGGTGACGCCATCGGCGGGCGCCGCGGCGTGACGCCATCGCGGCCGGTCCCGGCGCCGCTCCCGATCCCGGTTCCCATCCCGATCCCGGCCCCCGACCCGTCAGGGCGGCTCGGGGCGGTCCGATGCGGCGGCGGGCAGGATGCACCAGAAGCTGCTGCGCAGCGCGCACTACATCGAGCTGGGCAGCTACCAGTACTGGCCGGTGCTGGTGCCCCGCGGCATCCGGCTGTACACGTACGAGCAGATCCCGGTGTTCCTGAAGGACAACCCCTACATCACCGATGGATACCGCGCCTACCTGCCCTCCCGCCTCTGCATCAAGAGGTGAGCGCGCCCCGCGGCCCCGGGCGTCCCCCGGCCCCGCCGCCGCTCACCCTGCCCCGCCTTGTGTCTCCTCTCCCTCAGCCTCTTCATCCTCTCCAACGAGACCGTCAACATCTGGAGCCACCTGCTCGGCTTCCTGCTCTTCTTCACGCTGGGCATCTACGACCTGACGGCCGTGCTGCCGGCGGCCGGCGCCTCCCGCGAAGACTTCGTCATCTGCTCCGTCTGCCTCTTCTGTTTCCAGGTGGGCGCCGCCGGCGGCGGGGCCGAGCCGCCTCCGCGGTGCGGGACAGCGAGGGCGCGGTGCGGACAGCGAGGGCGCGGTGCGGGACAGCGAGGGCGCGGTGCGG